AGGTACTGGCATGCTTAATGTAAGGAGAGTTTGACCACTGTGATTGAAAACTCTTTGATGAGTCGACCCAATAATTCTCACCTTGGAAGGGAGGAAATCGGAGACAGGAATGGGAAAGTGAAGGAGTTCATGAAAAGCTTGAGAACGCTCTAGAATGGGGACCATGGTCAGAGCTAGGAGGAGTAGGGACAAGTGCCTGCTTGGTAGTGGAGTCTGCCAGACTAGAAATCGTAGATTGATTATCTTATCCTAGTACATATTCAACCTGAGTAATCTTTCTGTCGTAGTCTTTACATGAAAAGGTCCGGTGGTCTAATGGTATGACTCCTACTATGTATTGTCCTGTTATTTCACGCAGAGGGTGGGTGATCTGGGTTCAATTCCCAGCTGGATCATTTTTTTTTCGCTCCCGCAACAAATCCCATGCTGTCTTATCTCCGGTACCTTTCCATTGGTTCTCACATCTTCATGCCCACAAGACTACCCTCACGGGATCACTTCACACTCTCATACCTTCGGGTGACATTGCCAATAAGTATAGTCTAGTCTCGGATCTTTTGCTCTCTTGCTGTGACCCCTTTCTTTGGCAGACTACTGCAGCTACCAACCAGATTACCGTGATACTACTGGTCTGGCTGCGTTAAGTAGCCTCTCGCGATGCAGTTGAGTTGAGGCAGCACGAGCCGGAGATTTTACCACGACCTCATGCCTGATTCGGTGTCTAGACAGTAAAAGCTTGGGATGTTCCTGTGCGCAGACCTTATTATAGTTTGGTTATTTTAGTGGTAATCAGCCTTGTATTGCCTTTTAACTGGTCGAGACGTTCCGTGGGAAGCACGAGTTGTTCTTGTGCGCAGGCCTTTGTAGTTTGGTTACTTTAATGATGCCTGGACATCGAATCAGGCACAGGTCGGGGCAACATCTCCGGCTCGTGCTGCCTCGACTCAATCGCATCGCGAGAGGATACTTAATGCAGCCTGACAGGTGGTATCACAGTACTCTGGTTAACAGCTGCGATGGTTACGAAGGAACTGGTTAACCGAAGGTAGTTTGATTGCACGGAAAGAGCGTCAGTCCGAGACTAGTATCATCGAGCATACTAACCCCCCGTAGCCCCAAGGGAGATAAAAACAGTCTAGTCAGTGGTGAAGTGGAAAAAAAAATGATCCAGCTGGGAATTGAACCCAGATCCCCCACCCTCTACCTAGAACCAGCAGGACAATACATAGCAGGTGTCATGCCATTAGACCACCGGACCTTTCTATAAACACAATGGCAAGAAAGCGTTACTCAAAGTGAATATGTACTGCATCGATAACCAGACTATGATTTCCTTCAAATTGGCCTGCAACCAGCTTGTTCCTAGTCTAGCAGGCGCCGGCGTCTAGACAACCAGACTAACCCGCCTCTTGCAACCAGACTGCTGCCTCTCGTTCCAGACTAGGCCTCTCGCACAGGCAGGGTTTTCTGCTCTGCAACTCCATGTCTTTCTATAGAACCACCCGAGCGTCCACAAGCAAGTACCACACAATAAGGTGTATAAACCCCCAGCTCCAACCCGGCCCCTCTCGGCAAGCCATAACTATAGCTAATAATATATCTAGACTCACACAAATGCTCGAAGCTATTACCCTGAACTTGCTACAGCGCGGAACGTTCCAATACAGCTCCTATGGAACGACATTATGCAGCTGGGTAAAAACTATCGTGTAACCGCTAGACACGGACCCAGTGACCCCCTCTACACAGTTATGGTTATAGGCTAATTACGATTAGACTCACAGAACCCGACCTTTCGGGGGGAGGGGTTTCATCTGCAGTTTTCTAAAGATATCGCATATTGTGGGTCCAAGTCAGAGAGGCCTCTAATACCAACACTGTACGAGGATCCTCTCGATGCGCTTCAGGGAGGTCAACAAATTCGGCCAGATAGTTGTCAAGGTGTACACACAGCGATAGTTCTTTTGGAATTGGGCGAAAGTGGCGCCTTGGGCTGGACAGCTCTTTGTGGGTTCGCTGCTTAATTTATACGAAACAAAGTATTAATACTCACCTTCAATGGCCGAACAAAAATGGGAATCCAGACTGGGATAGCACCGAACTTATCTTTTAGTTCATGCCCATTCCTAGGGGAAATTATACTCTATTCTGTTTATAATTCAACTATAATACTTCCTAGGTGATTGGCACTTCTCTGGTACAGGTTCATCATGCCTAACCCCCTGTGACTCAGGGCTGTGTCACTCTATTGGCTAAGAGAGACCTGAACCAGCAAAAGCATATTAAGTGCATAACTTAGCAATTTGTTGCGCGCAGTTCGAGGGCTCAATTTTACGATTTTCAAACTTCTTGGCCAGAACTTAAGCTGATGAACGCATATATCACCTGTACTAAGTACTTCTATGTATCCGCCTATTCTTTCATTTCTCTTCTGGCCTGTGGACGGAGAAGCTCGCCTTGACAACTCCTGAACGAATCCTGCAGTTCAGGGTAATTTTGGACTTAGTGCAAAAGTTCTTCATCTTATTAACTTACACCCACGCAAGTAACTTTCCCTCGAGTTGTTGGTTGGCGCGGGTCGATACCAAAAGCAGGTAGGCATAATAAACCAGCACTAGAGAAGTGCAAATTACCAAACTTAGTATTGTAGCACAAGATCTCTGTGAACAGGAACAAGTAGTATGTCAAGTGTATACAGAGTAGGGAGGACAGTCGTATGATCGAAATGATTTTTCAGTGCCTGCTAGGCTTTGTGACTAGCGGACACGTACTATATTGCTAAGCGAGGTTCGGTTACCCTCAACTACCCATCCTGTTAATATACATTTTTTACTTTCCAGTGTCTTCAGTTCTGAATTAATATTATGAGAGAAACTAAGGATTTCACACATAGTGATCGAAATAGTTTGAAGTAAAAATAGTAATGAAGAGAAAATGCTAACCAAGAAGTTCAGGGCCAAACACCTATCCAGTCACTCTAGCGGAAACCACGGTTCCATGTCTCTACCACTGCTCTCATTAATGCGTTTTTCTATCCAGTCGTCTGGCCGGTGGTACTCTGCCTCTATCATATTGCTGGTCCATGATGTCCCGTAATTTCTTAACCCTAACCGTATAAGCATTGATTCTATCGTGGACGCCTAGAGGGGGCTGAGGTGGGTCCACACAATCGAGTCGAGCGGGGGTTGCCAGCATACTAGGGGTTGTACAACTCCTCGAGCTTATAGTGGATTCAAGATAACGCTATAGGGGATTAGCGATGCGAAAAGATTGGAGATTCTGCGCGAGTCTAGTTATAATTAGCCTATAACCGTGACTGCGGGAAGGGTCTACTGAGTTTGAGACTAGGGGGTCCATTGGATCTCCCCGATTTTGTTAAATCTTCCGTGATTTCCGTAGAATCTCGTTCGACTGGTCCTGTGAAGTGACGGAGTTGCAGGAGCATAGATTGTAGGATCCTTGGGACGCTGTTACTGAATACTAACTGTGTAGATCTGAGTATATGCTGAGTATATGCTAAGTAGACACTGAGTAGACTCATGGGATATTGAGTGAATGTTGGACAGTAAACTCGTAGAATTTAAATCCTGAGTCTAGGACGTGGAGAGGGATGACGTTCAGGCAGAAAAGATATTAGAAATCATAATAGAAGCGGAACTGCAATTGCCTGATAACCTGGTGAGACCCAGCAGTCTCAAATGTGTAAATGGACAGGCGAGAAAGATACTAAGAATGAGTATATGAGGTTGGAGTACCAGGGACCTACCTGGTGGGTAGGTACCTGAATGTAATAGCTTCTGGACAGGTAGCACCACAAAGGGGTACTATCAGAACCTTCAAAGCTTGTAGCCCAAAATCGTCTTGATACCCTCCGTAGGGGCCATTTTCTTAGTTCCATCAAGTTCCCGCGTATTACTCTTCCACCTCATGTATAAACTCTGATGCATCCGGGCTGAAGGTAATTTGTAGGACGGCATGGATCTTACCCATCATTCTGTTGCCTACTTATTCCATTGAGGATTTGAGACTAGGAATATCGAAGCAATTGGTGCCTTGACTCGAGGAACTGGCATGCTGAACGTAAGGGAGTTTGAGGACATGGCGACAGTAGTGTTGTTGTGCAACCAGGCTTTGGTGACAGTGCAATTGAAGATCTTTAATGAAAGGTGAGGAAGTCAGAAATGAGACTGGAGTAGTTCATGAAGAGCTTGAGAGCGTGTAGGTTGAGGGCTTGTACGTAGTCTGGCGGAGCCTGTACTGAGCGTTTGTCAGCGCTTGGAGGAGTAGGGGTACAAGTGGGTCTAGACTAGGGACATACAAGTACATACCTGTTGAAAGATTTGGTGGTGGGAACTTATCAGATGCAGAACAAATTCACTTTGAGTAACGCTTTCTTGCCAGGTTCTTCACAGAAAAGGTCCGGTGGTCTAATGGTATGACTCCTGCTATGTAATGTCCTGCTGGTTCAAGGCAGAGGGTGGGGGATCTGGGTTCAATTCCCAGCTGGATCATTTTTTTTTTTGCTCCCACCAAATACTCTAGGCTCCATGCTGTCTTATCTACATGACGGCTACGAGGGAAATGTCCTTGAAGTTGGAAGCAGATAAAAAGACCCCTCATACCAATCACAATATCGTCACGAGTAGTATATCTCACGACACCACCTCACAATCTCATCCCTACCGGGTGGTCTTGCTAGGATATAGTCTGGATTATGTCAATATGCTCGATGATACTTAATAATCTCGAATATTCGGTCTGCTCCTGTGCCTCCTTTGCTTGACAAGTCCTACATGCAATCGCAGCTACTAACCAGACTACCATGTTACTACCTGTCAGGCTGTGTCAAGTGCCAGTTGAGTCGAGGCAGCATAAGCCGGAGGTGGTTCGGTGTTTAGACAACCAAACTACAATAAGTCTGTGCACAAGAATATCTCGTGCTTCTCACGGAGCTAGAAGGCAGTACAAGACTATATGCTGCAGGTCACTAATACAAAAAAGGCACAGTGGTCTAATGGTATGGTACCTGCTATGTATTGTCCTGCTGGGTCCAAGCAGAGGGTGGGTGATCTGGGTTCAATTCCCAGCTGAGCCAACTCCTTTTTTTCTTGAACGGGAGTATGGGTAGCACAGGAGATGTGTGGGGGGAACCTCTAGCAAGATTCTTTTGGCCAGACTATTCGTTTGGACGAAAAGCTCCTGTCGCTTGACTTCTGCTGGAGACTGACAAAGTCGCCGTAGCGGGAAGGAAAAAGAACAAGAATAAAGAAATGGGACAGGTCACGTGTTCCTGGTTTACCCGCTAAGCCTCAGCTCAGGGTGGCCGGAATTCCCTTCCATCCAGCCTCAATCACAAATAATCCCTCTCCAGACTGATTCCTGAAGCTTCACTTGCTATATTGACGTTGCTCTTTGGGGTAATAATAAGCTCTAACCTGCTCCTGCTTGCCGCCCCCCCCCCAAGATTCACATTCTCCCTTAATACATCATCACCTCGCTCATGGAGTACTGAGCCACCTGCAATTGGTACATGTATATAGGTACATGTGCATATATAGTAAACGATGCTCATAGCGAAACCTCCAGGCTAGCCTTAAGACATATATATGTAGAATCATACATAGAGGCAAGGACAATATAACCTTAAATTATAGTCTATACATTTCTACATTCGTAACGGAAAGTGGGGCTGGACGTAATAAGGGAACAACTCCCCGAACAAAGTCCAACATTACCCTGAACTCCAGCATCCATACACAAAACTTGTTCCCCCAAATCCATAGCTACTTAGCTTCTTATTCTTCAAAGTTACTAGAGGAATTGGTGTTGCAATTGGAAGAAGCAGGATATAGCAAGGGGGAGCAGATTCATGCCATGGAATCAAGTGGGAAAATAGCAGGCATCAAGCTGAATATAGAGGAGGTTCTCTATCCCAAAACCAAGATAAGAAATGAGAGAGTAAAATGACTAAATGAATTAGTAGTACTTAGTACTCGGTGTCGCAGAATATATATTCGACAGTATAGGTCCTGGACAAGACAATTCTCAAGCTCGAATACTGTAAACGTGGCACTAGAAACTATTGACGGTACTCAACAAATTACTAACATATCTACATATTGTACTTGTGCCCGCTCAAGTTGTTATTAATCTCGCCCCCCGACTCATGAGCTTATGCCGCCCAGTTAGGAATATCCCGACTTTTCGTAAGTGAGTCCTGGAACTCCGCCGACGTATTCATAGAAGATTACGCCTGGCATTTCTTGGGGGTACACCCGGGGTTAGAGGCTGCATCTTGGAAATTAGCTTATTGAACAAAGGATGAATATTCTGCATCCCAAGCCTTGCAAATTCCTCCAGCAGACAATCTGGACCAGGTTGGCTACATGGACGGCTACTTTCCCACTACTCCAGTATGGGAATCTTACCGTGTAAAGTTCGCCAATGGCCCCCCATTGTAGAGGTCGGTCAGGCTTGGGAGCCCCAAGTGCAAGTTCTCCATTGGTATTGGGTATCTGTTATATGAATTTGGTTAGATCTTAATTATAATTAGAACATGTGCTTTGTATTGCTTTATCCCTGCGTACTACTATACATGCAGAACCTGCAAGGCAGAAGAAGTTGGAAGGGACTGATTGCCTTGCATTTTAATGCATAGGCAAGCGTAATAATTAGATAGAGACGGAAATGACGTTACTCTGAAATTGAGGCTTTCTAGACAAGGCTCCCAGTATTAATTACCTTCCACTACTAATATGTGCCATTACGTGAGTGCCTTCAATCATGCACAGGAGAGTTATGCTATCTGACACCCAGAACACTAAGAGTACATATATGGCTTACCAATTTTTTCTTTTTTTCTATAGAGTCAAGTGAGTTTCGATTTTTTTCTAACCTTCCAATTGTCTTCAGTTGTGAAGTAGTATTTGTACGAGCGAATCACACAATAGTGATCGAACTAAGAGTAAAGATAATCCCTTAAAGAAGGGCGAAGGGCCTCATAGCACAATACCCAGTGAATGGTTCCACATGTCAAAATCACGAGCCTCTCAAACAAATATCATGGACTTGAGATCCCGAATTATCACCACAATACCCTGGAAAATTCTCCTAAACTTTGTGCTGAGTGGTGAGACGCACATCCACAACCCGAGTTACCCTGAACTCGCTCTTATATCCGACTGCTTCTGTTTATCTCTATTAGATTCCATCGTGCGGCTTTTGATTCTATAGTCAGCTTACCTTGTGTCCGCTTTCGTGCTTATTTCTTTTTCTCCTCTCTGATTGGTGCTTAAATCAGATGATCCCTGCTCGCCGTTACCCTGATATATAGACTGCTCGCTTCAGCTTTTCATCATTTTTTTTGAACTCAGTACTCGTGTGCGCAACCTTAAGGGTCGCATGACGAGCCATACCGGAATCCCGAGCGGATTCAAGGGTCGGTCAAGTTAATCTTCCGCCCTGCGCGAGCTATGTACAAGATAATAACAGAGAAAAAAAAAACAAATAATAAACAACTAATATGCGCAACCGATGTCTCCCGTAACGCACGGCAAGGGGGCGGTAGAGGTAGGCGAAGTACGCCTCCCCCGCCTCCCACTCCTCTTCCTCTCCCTCTTCCTTCTTCCATATCGGTGTGTCATATCTCTTCCCAGGTCGTAGAGCTCGCTACAGCTTCCCTGTGCTCTAATTGATATAAGCAAGTCTCCACCGGCATAGACCTTCCTACCATCGAACAATTCTCCGCCTCCATAAGAGTATCACTAGAACCTATCTCCGCGGTGCCTATTCAAAGTCTTAACCGCTTTGAAGAGTACCTGTCACGGCCCTAACCCCATAGGCTCAATCAGGCACATGTAGGAGGCACCGCATGACGCATAGGATAGCACAAGGTAGGGCACGAAGGGATAACCCTCGGGTAGCAACGGGAGGCAAGGAGGATTAGGTGGCAACAGTGGCATCGGAACATGTATATATAGGCTGGCTATTTCCCACTCTCTTTCCCTTCCCTCTCTCTTCTTCACGCAACGTCTTGTATTCTAGTCGTACTAAGTACATTCCGTTCCTCCTTGAACCTCTTGCTCCCTTGTCATAGTCTCTGGCCATAGTAGCGCTCCCTGGAGCCCGACCACAGTCCTTGTCACAGCCTCGCCGTTACAGTACCCAAGCTTCCGCCGAAGTCCTGGGGCCACTTTAGTCTAATATGTTAAGGGTGCTATTATACCTCTGCACTATAATAGTAACCTTAACAGTATTGATGATTTGCTAAATGGATCCTAAACAGGATAACTAAACAAGCTTCTGACGGTTAAAAGTGTTTCTTGATATGGAATTGGGTGTTTTGAACAAAGCTCTCACGCGCGTGTCATGCGGTGAAGGCGTATATATGATGTAGACGCATGTGTGCGGAGGCGCGCAGGGTGGCACGTAGAGGTGGCAAGAGTTGCGGCAGACTGCAACTACCTGACTATGGCGCGATCCTTTCTCTGCTATGGCTTTCAAGACCTTCTTCCGGTGTACTATTGGATTACCACTGGGAAAGTAGTTTCATGGATGCGTGGCTCTCAGGACCAAGTCCTGAGAATATCGAGTTTTACCTTGAGCAGTTGCACAGGAGGAGCCATGAGCTATCTCAATAGATCGAACCGCATCTCTGTATCCCCACCGTCGCTCTCATTGATTCATCATTCTCCTGACCGGCGGAGCTCTGTCTCCGATCACATGGCCAGTGATCTGTGATGCGCAAAGATTACTTCATTTCACCTTAAATGCACTGATTGCACCGAGGGCACTAGACTGAGGTGGGTCTACACAGTTGATTGGAAAGATTGTCAACCAGGCTAGGTTCTGTACAGGCCTTTGAGCTTATAGCGGGTTCAGGGTAGCCTATAGGGGACCGGCGATGTGAAAGGTTTGGGTTCTGCAAGTCTAGCAATAATCAGCCCATAGCCGTGACTGTAGAGAGGTTCAAGACTAGGGGGATAAAAGTGATTTATTACGCTACGATAGCTAGGCTATGGATCTACACGATGACCCTGACCATAGCTACATAAACGACATTCCAAGGATGCTTTGATTGGCGCGTGAAGGGGTTCAGGATAATAGACTTGAGTATCCTACCAGCATCGGAGTTCTCTGAGCTTAGTTATATTATTAGCTAATGTAAAGGAAGAGAGGGGGATCGAGATTGAAGCCGGGATTTATCTACCTTATTTCTCCGATTTTGCGGAATTTTCTTTGATTCCTGTGGGACGACTGTAGAATAACATATAGTAACAGGAGTATAGGAACAGGAGCATAGTCCGGGCGACCCTTATGACTCTGTGTTCGAGTACTGTATATATTGAAGAGGAAGAGGACTCTGCATATGAGAATGCTGTGTAGATCTGGAGAATGCTGAGAAAATATGGGTAGATTTGTAGGACACTGAGGACATATGAGGGCGTCAATATCCATCAGTAAACGAGCTTGAGAAAGGTGTGGTCTGAGGGGCTTATACACCAACCATAATCAGCGCTAGGGGGGCAGGAGACAACCAGACTGCAGCTATTTGGTTTGGTGACCAGACTACTGAGCCTCGTACATATTGGATTTCAAACGCTTGCTTGCAAATGGCTACACAGAAAAAGGTCCGGTGGTCTAATGGTATGACTCCTGCTATGTAATGTCCTGCTGGTTCTAGGCAGAGGGCAGGTGATCTGGGTTCAATCCCCAGCTGGATCATTATATTTTGCTCCTGCAGCGCCCTAATTTTATCCGAGGCTACCTATCATGATCAGCTTCCTGGATTACTGAATCACACTGTCTGTCAGCCCTACTGAGCGACCTTGCCAATATGCTCGATGATATTTTAATAGTCTTGGACCTTAGTAGTCTGGTTGGCACAAGCCCCTCGCAAGAGGGGACCTTAGCTGTGTTCCCGTACCACCTTCTGTTGGTAGTCCCTTCATGATTATCGCAGACCACCTGTCAGGCTTCATCTACTGGCTTCTCGCGATGCGGTTGGATCGAGGGAGCACGAGCCGGAGGAGTTACCTCGACCTCGTGCTTGATTCGGTATTTAGACAGCCGAAGTACAATAAAAATAAATGGCTA